ATGATTTATTCATTGTAAATACTTTTTATAAGAAACAGAAATGATGGCTATACACATAGGCCTCACCTGATGGTCTATCCAGGAATAAGATTCGTTACATCTGTGGAAATAATGGTTGTAGAAGCTCAATATAAGCTGTGGAAACTAGGCTACGTGCTGACTGTGGTGGAATAGATAATCAGCTACTCATATGCAAGTTGAAAATGAAGTTAAAGAAAATTAAATCAAATATACAAGAGCCAAAATTTGGCTTTGAGTTTATCCTACCTGGATTTAAAAACCATTGCAAATACAGGTTCGAAGTCTAGGACACTAATGAATGAAGACCAGATGAGCTGTGAGAGAATATCAAGAATATCATCCATGATGAATGCAAAAGGACATTATGCTGAGTGAAATATCGCAGTCACAAAAGGACAAATACTGCATAATGCCACTGTTATAAAACAGGACTGACATCAGGGTTAACAGAGAAACTAAGAAGAAAGGGGGTAAATGATGTACACTGCATTGAAACAGATGAGGCAGATAACTATTTAAAAGGAATAAATGTTTAGGTATTATTTGCATGACAAGAGTCCAGAATAAAAGCTGCGTAGTAACATGGATCGGAGCGGGGAAGGGGACCAGGGGATTGTATAACAATGAAAAAACTTTTTTCCAAAGAGAAAAGTGAACGGGAGGGGGAGAAGTGGGAAGAAAGGAAAATGTGCAACAATGAATGAATGGAAAAAATATTTTTAAAAAAGGTCATTGCAAAAACAGAAGAGGAAGACTGAGATAGATGTCAGAGGAGACTGCATAATACACTAGAGCACCAAGAAGCCAAAGCAAAAGAAATAAATCAGAAAGTTAAGGAACTGAACAGAAAGTTTTAAAGGGTAGCTTGGAAGGACAAAGCAAAGCATTATAATGAAATGTACAAAGAGCAGAGTTAGAGAATAAAAACCGATGAGCTCACTCAGCATTTCTTTACCTGAAGAAACTGAAGAACAAATGCATCTTGAGGCAACCTTAAAGATGTTAAGGGCAGGATATTGAATGATCCAAGAAGAATCTAAAGAAGATACCATCTCACTCCTGTAACAGTGGCAAAGTTTAATAGGACCACAAATAATAAATGTTGGAGAGGATGTGGTGACATAGGAACTCTTTTTTAAAATTGATATTTTAACAAAAGTTTACAGAAAACTTGGATTTCCATTCATTAATGTTGCACATTTTCCTCTCTCTCCTTGCCCTCTCTCCTAGTCCACTCTGTTGTGCATCTCTTATTCTGGACTGTTGTCGTACAAATAACACCTAATAATATATTTCTTTTAGAAAGTTCTTTCTCTCATCTATTTAAATGTTTAAATGTTGCTGTTGTTGTTAAGTGCTGTTGAGTCATAGACTAGCGACCCTATGAACAAAAGACCTGAACACTTGTATAACTTGCATCGTTTCTCCAAGTTCATAGAGTTTCTGGAGGCAAGCTATTTCAGAAGTGGATACCACTCCTGCTTCCAAGCTTGTCTTAATCAGGGAGGCCCACCAAAATACTGTTCACCATTATTGCATTTAATATATCAGTGTCACAGTGTTTAGCATCACAGTAACCACAAGTTACCTCTGTACAGCAAATGGACAGACCAGTGCTATACCACTTAGAAGAATATTTGACCAAAACCAAATTAAAACCAGGCCTGAGTGATGCAGAGTAAAATCACTCACCTTTGGCTTGTTAGCTTAACTTTCTATCTACGAGGCCCACAGCACTCTACGTTGTTGTTAAGTGCCATCAAGTTGAACAAGACTCATAGTGACCCTATGAATGTAGTGTTTATTATTTATCCCCTCTTTTCTTATTTTCCCCCAACCCCCATGTCAGCCTTGTTTTATAGCTGTGGCATTATGCACTATTTGTCCTTTTGTGACCAAGCTCTTTCACTCATCAGAATGTCCTCCAGGGTCACCCATTTTATATAATATTTTATGAATTCCTTGTTTTTCAGTTCTACATAGTATTCCATTATGTGAATTTACCACAGTTTCTCTATCCATTTGATGATGGGCTCTTGGGTTACTTCCATCTCTTTGCTATTGTGAATAACGCAGCAATAAACATAGGTGTGCATATATCTATTTGGGTTGTTGTTCTGGTTTTGTTAGGGTATATTTCCAGTAGTGCAATTGCTGGGTCAAATGGTATTTCTATTTCCAACTCTTTGAGAAAGTGCCATATATACTGCCTCCCATAGTGGTTGCACCATTTGACAGTCCCACCAACAGTGAATGAGTGTTCCAATTTCTCCACAACCTCACCGGCATTTCTTGTTTGCTGCTCTGTGAACTTTGCTGTTGTTATTGGGTTGAGATGATATGTCGTAGTTGGTTTGATTTGCATCTCTCTTAGAGATAGGGATTTTGAACATTTCTGGAACTCTTATACACTGTTGGTGGGATTGTAAATTGGCACAACCACTCTGGAAGACAGTTTGGCCTTTCCTCAGAAAACTGAACATAGAAATTCCATATGATCTGGCTATTCCGCTGATTGAAATATACCTCAAGAAAATAAGAACTGAGGCACAAACGGAGACTTGTACACCAATGTTCATAGCAATGTTATTCACCATCGCTAAAACATAGAAATTGCCCAAACGTCCAAGCACAGTTTAATAGATTGAGAAATTCTTTCACATGATGGCATACTACAAGGCACACAGGAGCAATGGTTTTGTAAATCACTACCAAACTTGGGAGGGACTGGAGAGCATTATACTAAGTGAATTAACTCAGTCCCATGATGATAAATACTCTCTAAGACCACTGTTATAGAAACAGATAACTTGTAAAACATACATGAGGATCTAAGCGGGGAGGGTGAGAGCTGCGGGCTGTGTGTGTGTGTGTGAGAGAGAGAGAGAGAGAGGATGGGTGGAGATAATCATAGGGTCACACAATTTGGTGTGTGAAGGGAAACTGGATTAAAGAAATGTGAAAGATCTAGTGCGAAAAACAATGTATACAGAGGTTTTAAGTAAATCAGTATTTATAAAGGAAATATAGCTTAAAAAAAGAAGAAGCTGGAAGGAGTACAGAGTAACTTTACTAAAGAGAATTGGCTGACACAGAAGAATATTATGAAACAGCATATGATAAAGAGGCAATGGAGATAAAGGAGGAAGTTCAAGCTAATCTGAAGGAACTGGCAAAAAAAGCCTCAGGAAATTATGGAACACCACCTGACATATTTTAGGAAACAAATTCTGCCCTAGATGTGATCACCAAATCATGCCGAGAAATTTGGAAGACAGCCAGCTGACTGGAAGAGATACATATTTATTCTCATTCCAAAAAAGTTATCTGACAAAGTGTGGAAATTATTAACAATATCACTAATACCGCACACAAGAAAAATCTAGCTGAAGGTTATCCAAAAAGGACTGGAATAGCACATCAACAGACAACTACCAGAAGTTCAGGCTGGATGTAAAAGACCATGGCACTAGGGATATCATTGCCAAAGTCAGATGGATCTTGGCTGAAAAGACAGTACCAAAAGAATGACTGTACTGACTATAACGGCATTTGGTAAAGGAATCTGGCAAAGCATGTGGACTGTGTGGCTTATAACAAATTGTGGCCTAACCTTGAGAAGAATGGGAATCCCAGAACACTTGATTGTGCTCATATGAAACCTATACTTGGACCAGAAGGCAGTCATCAGAATAGAACAAGAAAACACTGAATGGTTCAAAATCAGGAAAGGAGCGCATCCTATCTCCATACCGTTTCAATCTATATGTGGAACAGATCCTCTGGGCAGCTGGTCTTTATGAGGTATCAGAATTGGAGGAAAACGTATCAACAACGTGCATTATGCAGATGACACAACCTTGCTCCCTGAAACTGAGGAGGACCTGAAACCTCTGCTGCAGAAGGTCAAGGATTGCAGTCTTCAATATGGGCTGAAGCTCAACATCAAAATAACAAAGATTCTCTCCAGTGGGCCAACTGGCAGCATCATGATAGATTGAGAGGAAGTTGAGGTTGTTAACAATTTCAGCTTGTTTGGTTCCACAATCAATACTTTTGGCAACAACAGTCAGGAAATCAAAAGATGAACTGGATTAGGAAAGTCTTTTGTCAGGGACCTCTACAGAGTATTGAAGAGCAACAATGTCAGTCTAGAGACTAAGGTGCACCTAATCCAGGCCTCACAATTACTTACTATGGATCAGAGAGCTGGACAATTACTTAAGGATGACAGAAGAATTGATGCCTTTGAATTGTGATTCTGGAGAAGAGTGTTGTACACACCATGGACTGCCAAGAGAACAAATGGGTTTGACCTGGAGAGGGTGAAACCTATTTAATTTCTGGATGCAAGGATTTTGAAGCTCCATTTTGCATACTTTGGGCATGTTGCTAGAAGGGACCAGTCCTTGGATAAGGACATCATGTTAGGGAGGATAGAGGGACAATACAGGGGAGGAAGACCCTGGATGAGAGGGATTGAGGCATTGACTGGGGTAATCGGGACAGTTGTGTCAATAATAGTGAGACTGATTCAGGATAAGACAGGTTTCAGAGCTATTGTGCATAGAGTTGCTGTAAGTCATAGGTTACTTGACTCCATTATACCAACAACGACAACAACAATCCTCTACAAGAAGTAATGAAAAAACTGAGTGGCATATTTCTATGAAACATTATCTTGGTGTAGATGTGAAACTGACCCATTTTAGAACTGATTGCCTCGTAGTGGGATGAATATAATGTCCTACCATGGGAATCTATGTAATTTCCAGTTCCTCATAATAAAACATTTTTCAATTCAGCTAATGTGAGTAGTTTTCTTTCTTTCTTTCTCTTTCTCTCCCTTTTCTAGTCTTTGCAAACAATCTAGTGAGTTATACTGGTTGGTATAATCAGAATGTCCTTAGCAAGGGAGAAAATGTTCAGTACAATTTTAAGCACCAAATAATCTTAAAACAGTAAAGTAAAATTTTTACTATTTGTGCTGATAAAAGACGACTATTGGCCAGCTCCATTGCTTCAATATTAAGAGTCTCATCTATTTCCTTGTTACAGTTTGGACACCTCACCATTTGATGGCCTGTCGTTTCTTCTTGGCTTGCCTAAGAAAAAGACGAGTAACAATATCAATAAACTCTATGCCATGTCATCAGCAGAAAATTTACACAATTGTTAAGCTGAATTGGTTTGAAAATGTTAAGAAAAAAAACTATTAGATATATGAAAGTAAACAGATATAATTTCTTATCATTTGCAGTTATCCTCAAGGTAAAATATTTGCCAATTTTGGAAGAAAAAGATTTTATCATATCCTGACTTTAAATGGTATTATTATGAATTGATAAAAATTATTTATATGGTCATATTCTACATAAATGGTTTTCAGTATGTGTCACTCCCACTCCCACATTTTACCGTCACCTGTGAATTGTTAGAAATTCATCCTCTCAGGCAACCACCTACTATTGTAGCTGTTGCAGGCCAACTCATAAGTAACCTTCCAGCAAGTTTTCAGAGTCTCTAAATCAGTCACACAGAAGGAGACTGCCCAGCTTCCTCTCATGGAGCAGCTGGGGGATTTGAACCGTGTGCCTTTGGGTTGGCAGCACAATTCTTTTACCACTAGGCCATGAGATCTCCCTTCTGTTATGGCTGGTTGTAGTCAATTCCTATTTATGATAATTCTGTGAGTGGAGAGTGGGAACTACTCCACAGTGACCTTTAAGATACAGCTTGCCAAGCCTGTCTTCTGAGGTACTACTCAGAGGCAGTTAATCAAACAGGAAGAAATTCCCCGTTCTTTCTCTTGCAGAGCTGGAGAGGCGTTGCCTCTGGACTAGAGGCATAATTCACTACAGGCTACACACCACCAGAGCTCCCTAAGCATACAATAGAACCTTCTAAGTGCTAGGCCCGAAAAAGAACATTAAGTAAATGAACAAATGAAAGCCTTTACTAGTCCCAAGCCTGACAGAAACACCAAAAACTAGCCATTTTTCAAAGTCTTATAATATCTTTTAAATGCAACTGTAATATATTGTTCTCTTTTTTGAATTCACACCATTCATTTTCTATAATCTTAAAGGGATTATAATTCCTACTTTTTCCTACAATTATCATAAAATTCCTTACTAATCTGTGCTGCAATCCCGAAGGCAAGTGGTTCAGATCCACCAGCTGCTCGGCAGGAGACACATGGATAATCTCCTGTGTGATTAACTGCCTCTGAAAACCGGCCAGAGGGTCAGTTATGGGTTGGTTCCGACTTGATGGTACATAACAACAACAATCATAAGAATGCAATATATATATTTATTGTTGGTTGATAATATCTATTATTAATTGATATTGTTCTTCCTATATGACAAAATTGAAAGCAGGAATGGCATTCGCTTCCTAAACAACATGCCTCTGTAAACTGTGAACCTTGAGAAATGACGATATTTACAGAAAGGATTCAGGTCTCTTACTCATAGGGTTGCTATGAGTCGTGTTCGACTCCACAGCAATCAACAACATGTGACAAAAAAAGAGTCACTAATACAACTCATCTGTCAACTACAGGTATTACATATTATGGATTAATATTTATGACATAATTTAACGTTATTTAGACCAATTTTATAATTTTGAAGGAATAAGAAAAATACTGACTAGCTTACCGCGTATGGATTTTGAAATATAATTGCTCTCTCAACAACGTTCCAGTCAGCATTAGCAAGATCTTTGTCAAATTTGAGTGTAGAAGCAATAGATTTGGTTAACTCTTGAAAGTGTTTATATGTATAGTAAAGTGATTTATATTTTGTTGATGTGACATCACGAAGACCTTTGACACAAAGAGCAATTTTTCACAAAGAGCAGAAATAGAAACTTTCTGATATTGATTATAAAGCTTCCTTTTTTCCTTACTATATTGTCACTAAGTCTTTAAAAACTTTAAAAAGTATCCAAAATAAGTTGTTTCATAACTGAAATACTAAGAGTATTATGTTTTTCTCCTTTTGAATCTCTTCTTATGAAAGCTATAGTAAATCATCACCTCTATTATCATGAAAATATTTTTTCTTTTTTATTATTTTGAGTCAAACATGACTCATAGCTGACTTTCCAGTGGGTTTTCAGAAGCTATAAATTACTCTGGAGAAAATTGTCTATCTTTCTCCAGTGGAGCTGATGCTAGATTTGAAATAACCATCTTTAAGTTAACAGTGCAGTTCATACAGACTGGGCCACTAGAGCTCCAGTCTATAAGACCAAGTGCTAAAATCTGTTCTGAATCTTCCAGAAAAGAATACAGTATAAGCATGCAGCTTGATATAGCACTTTTCTCTTCTGATTATGGAAGATGCATTTTAATATGTTCAAAATATGTAACTCAGTTATATTTGTGGTACACAACATGTGAATAAACGTGCTTCACTCTTTACCAAAACAGTTAATTTCTTGCTTAGCACTGTTCTAGGAAAGAGATTCTTACTTTATGAAGTGTGTTTTTAGTCCTGATCTACCAAGTAAAATAGATTTATATTTTTAGCCCTAGATTCTTTCTTGAAATTTAAGATCATATTCAACAATCACTTTTATTTTTTTTTTCTTGACTGTCTACTCACTTTCCATCTCACCCCTATCACTTCCCACAAAAATACCAAACCCATATTATAGAGTCAATTTTATGTCATAGCAACCTCAGGCTGTGAATCTTATCAGAAGAAGCTTGTCTGATTTTCTCCCATTGAGCTGCTGGTGGCTTTGATTTGCTCACCTTTTATTTAGTATTCCAGTGACTTTGATTTGCTGACATTTTATTTATTTAGCGTTTCAGTACATTAGTCCCCATACCACCAGTGTTCCTTGACACTATTTTAGATATTTCAAATTTCATGAATAGAAAATAACTTCTGATGGATTTTCTGATACTCTTTTCCCCAGTAGTCCCCAAGACAATTATTAACATAAACACAAACCTAAAGTTGAGGCCAAAATCTAAAAAGAACCAAAAAACAAACAAAACAAAACAGAACAACCAACCAAAAAACCCTCAAGCAACAAACTCTACTATAATTGAGTAATTTCAGACACATGGTGACTATCTTCTGGATTTCTGAGGCTGTAAATCTTTACAGTAGGCAATTATCCTACTTCCTTCTCTGGAGTCACTAGTATAATTAAACTTCTGACCTTTCATTGAGCAGGTCAATACTTAATACACTGTGTCATCTAGGTTTATTTAAATATCTAAGAAAACTCAAAGCTAAACCCACTGCTCTGGAGTCAGTTCTGATTCATAGCACTCATAGAATGGCTGGTAGATTCAAACTGCTGATATTTTGGTTGTTTTTGGTAGGTGCCATTGAGTCAAGTATGACACATAACAACATTATGGACCACAGATCTGAATCCTGCCCTATCTATCTTTTGCCATTTTCACCATCTCTGATACACTTGAACACATTGCTGCATTCACCATGTCAGTTCATCTTTATGGGAGTCTTACTCTCTTTGACTGAACCTCAAACCTTTCAAACATGATATCTCTTTCAAAGCAATCACCCCTCCAGCAATATGCTCAAGTATGAGGGACAAAGCTGCGCCATCATTGTTCCAAGGGGCACTCTGACTGCATCTTTCCCAAAGCACACCTGTTCATTCTTTTGAAAGTCCATGGGATATTCAGCACTTTTCTCTAACAATACAAATCAAAGGCATCAATTATTCTTCTGTCATCCTTATTCATTCTCTGGCTCTCAAATGCATAGCAAGTAATGGAAAAGACCATGACCTGAATCAGGCACACCTTAGTTTTCAAAACAACCTCATTGCTCTTCAGTATTTTGGAGAGGTCTCTAATAGTGGACTTTCCCAAAGCGATATGTCTTGTTATCACCTGACTGCTGGTACTAAGGGTGTTGATTGTGGATCCAAGTCAGATGAAATCTTTGACAGTGTTAATCCTTTCTATCATAATGTTGCCCATTATAAGGACATCTGTTTTCTAGATGTTGAAATGCAGTCCACACTGAAGGCAATAATTTTTGATCTTCTGTAACAAGTGCTTCAGGTCCTCATTTTCAGCAAGCAAAGTTGTGTCATCTGCATAAGAGGTGTTTGATGAGCTTTCTTCCACTCCTGATGCCACATTCTTCTTCACAGAGTCTGGGTTCACAAAATATTTCTTCATGATAAAGATTAACTAGGTATGAAGGAAGGACATAACTCTAATACATACTTTTCCTGATTTTAAACCATGCCGTTTTCCCTGGCTTTTTCTACAATTTGATCTAAGTATAGACTTCATATGAGTACAATTAAGTGTTCTAGAATTCCCATTCTTTTTTTTTAACTCTTTTTTTATTATTATGATTAATTTCAATGAATATCTACAGAGATTTTGGAATTCCATTCATTCATTGTTGCACTTTTCTCCCTAGAATTCCCATTTTTATCCTCATTACTAGCCATAGTTTATTGTTTTCCACACTGCCAAAGTCCTTTGCGTAGTCAATGAAATATAGATAGACATTCTTCTGGTATTCTTGACTTTTAGTTAGGCTCCACCTGAGTCAGCAATGATATTCCTGGTGTGACTAAGCTTTTGTTTCATAGTCACTTAAAAGTACTCTTTAATTCATACTATTAAATCAGAAAGAGTGTCCATTAGTGCGTTAGGGTGTATCCTTTCTCCAAACCTATTCAATCTCTATGCTCAGCAAATAATATGTGAAACCAGACTTTAAATATAGAAAGAAGACTCATCAATGGCTTGCATTATGCAGATGACACATATGCAGCTGACAAGGTAATACCACTACCACCCCTTGCTTAAAGTGAGAAGGACCTGAAGCACTTGTTGCAGAAGATCAAAAATTATAACCTTTAGTATTGACTACATCTCAACATCAAGAAAACAATGGTCTTTACCACTGGGGAACAAGGCAACATCATGATAGATGGAGAAAGGACTGACATTGTCAATGATATCATCTTTCTTGGTACCAGCAGTCAAGAGTAATGAGACATATTATTTGGGGCAAAAATGCTGTCAGGAATCTTTCCAAAATCCTGAAGAGCAAAGATGTCAGTTTGAAGACTAAGGGGTGCCTGATTCAGGCCCTGGTCTTTTCCATTACTGGCTATGCATCTGAGAACTGGAGAATGAATAAGGATGACAGAAGAATTGATGCTTTTGAGATGTGGTGTTGGAAAGAGTGCTGAATATCTCTTGACGTGCCAAAAGAATGAGCAGATATGTCTTGGAGAGGATGCAGCCAGAGTGCTCCTTGGAAACAAGGATGGCACAGCTTTGCCTCTCATACTTTGGACATATTTCTGGGAGTAGCTATTCCTTGGAAATGGATATCATGCTTGGAAAGGTAGAGGGTCAGTGAAAGAGATGAAGGTCCCCATCAAGACAGATTGTCATGGTGACTGCAGTAATGGACTCAAGTGTATTAGAGATGATGAAGATGGCACAGGACAGATAGGACAGGACTCAGATGTGTTATTTATAGGGTCACTATTGACTCAACCATACCTAACGTCAACAACAACAACTACATCTCAGAAGTGCTACTTGTATTCTTTGCCACAATTTTCTAGTCTAAGCCACCAGCATATATTTCCTCTTGGATGAATGCCTCTTTACTGTTAGTTCTCTTTCTGCTTTCTTATATATTCTGGTAAAGTAGTTCCAGTAATTCCAGAGGTTCTCTTAAGAGCTCAAACATATAATGGCACTTCTTTAAAACCAACTGATGAGCCCCTTTGCCCCTTAGAATAAAATCCTAATTTCTTACTGTGACTACAAGATTATTTTTATCTATAGGATCTCCATCTGGTATTTGCCAAGGCTTAATCTCCTCAGAATTTTGTTTCTGTTTTCCTCAAGAATTTAACACCTGTTATGTTCTCTGTTTTATTTCATTTGGTCTGACATTACTTATTTGATTTGTCACCTGGTTTTCTTCATTTTTAATATGAGCTCTATCAGATCATCTTTACTGTCTCCATGATGTTTTACTCTCAGTTAGTACAGTACCGGTAGATTCTTAATAAAAATTAACTGAATAGTTAAATGAATGAATAAACTTCTACCGTTATTTTAGTAAACAGAACAAATATTAACAGGGATCTTTTGAAATAAGTAAGCTTATTTCTGAATTATTAATGTGGTTTATTCATTATTTCCTCTTCAGTTAGGTACTACTGTTTTGCATTTACATGGATTCATCGTAATTAACACGTTTCAAAGAAGGTCTGGTGGTGCAGTGGTTAGATAACATGCTGCTAATTGGAAGGTCATCAAATGGAATCCACCACTTACTGGTAGGTAAAACAGGAGACAGTTTCCTCTTAAAAAGATTTAAATCCTCAGAAACCCAATGGAGTCAAGAGTTAGACTCAAGGACAATGTACTTGGATTTTGGTTTTAGTAAATTTAGAATTGCTTCTTTTCACTCACAATACTAACTAGCAGGGCTTACCTAGTTTAGAAACGGCTAGCGGCAAAATGAATCTATTTAAAATCAAAGTAATGAAACACACAGCCACTCCATGAAATAACATCTAAAGGGGGAAAACAAATAAGGTTAATTATTTATAAAATTTTATATAAAATATCCTATGTTTATCAATGTAAACTAAAGTCAATTATACGATGTCAATAGATGCACATTGTTAAGGAGAATGTGAATGTTAAGGATGGCCAAGTAGATAGTTAACAATTCTGCTTTCCCTAAGTCTTGTTATCAAAGCCAAATCATTCCTACAGGCCTAGTTACTTCAATATTTTAACACGCACCAACAACTTTATAATTTAGAAAATAAAAAATAAAGCATTCTTTACTTGAGATTTTTCCCTCTCAGTTCCAGTGGAAGAGTCATAAGCAAGTAGTAGGGCCATGCTTATGTTAGGCATCCCTCTCATTTCACTCAAGACCATTATGAATGCCCAGCGCCAATTGAATCCATGGCCAAGTCGAGACAAGAGAGGGCTTAGTAAGAGAATCGTCAAAAGTCTAAAAGAAAACAATTTTAATATAGTTATTGCTGTTATAGAAATCTATTTCACTCTATTGTAATTTATGCTCTATGGAATAATTGTGAAATAAATGTGGTAATTTCGCATCATCCTTTGAATGGTACAACAGGCTAAAATAATAATAATATAGCCATTTTTAAGGCATATCCTAGATCCCAAAAAAAGGAATAAAGACAAAAGTTAGAGGAAAATATCTTTCTTCTTAACACACCTTGATATCTTTCTGATTCTATCAAATGCTAGTCAATAATTTCAATTTCTTTTTTAAGTAACATATTATTTCTACTATTTATATCCAATATATCTTGTATTGTAAAACTAGTTTTCATTGACTTGATGTCATCTACTCAAATAATTTCCTAACACCAAGTAGAATACTAGCAATTAGAGTAATAGAAGGGAAATAAATATAAGACTTCAGTTTTAGTAATTTAGCCTCTTCTACATTTTTCAGTTTCTTAAAATTGGAGAAGGGACTACAAAAGTTGAGGGGGGGAAACCAGATAGCTATAAAAAAGACTTCTTCATTGTTTTATGAAAAAAAAAAATTATTTCCAGCTGCACTGGTGGCCTAGTGACAAGAAGCTGTGCTGCAATGCTGAAGGCATGGAGTTCAAAAGCACCAGCTGCTCCGTGGGAGAAGGATGGACAATATCCTCCTGGATGCTTAAATAGTTGCCTCTAAAAATCCCCTAGAGAGGCAGCTATGGGTCTGTTCCTACTCTATGGTAAACAACAATAACAATTTTTAGTTGGTATGTAATAGTTTCTTATACAATATTAAGCAGTCAAGCAAGATAATTTTTTACTTAAGGATAGATTTTTGGTGTGATAAGTCTCACAGAAGAAAAATTATATTAAACATACAAAGCATTAATAGTAGTTTCTTCTAGATTGTATGTTTATGATTGATTCTTTTTCTACTAATTTAAAAGTTATTTTACATGGTGTTTTTACTGCTTCATTGTGATTTTAAACTAAAAAATTATTAATTTGTTGATGATTCTTTGGAAACTTGTAGAACTGTTTTTCTAAGATATGAATCATTTCAATTATTTAAAATATTATCTTCAGTCTTTATCCAACTTTCTGTAATATAAAAATGCAAATTACCTTCTTACCTTAAGACAAACAATGTGAAATACATATTTAGTGAAAAAAATAAATCAGAAAATGATATATATGCATATGTTTGTGCAGGAATTAGGAGTCCAATGAAAGTAAACACCATAAGAAATGAAACAAATGCTAGACAATTCCAGAATCTGCAGAAAAAGAAGAGTAAATTATAATTCATTAACCTAGCATCAAGACATCAGCATGAGGCATTATGCTAAGCATTTTGAGCAAAATAAAGATGAATAAAGACACTGAAGAAAAAAAAAGAAAAAGTCAAGTAAGCAATTCTATAGCAATTTTCACCAGTTTATACCACAGGTAAATGACTGTTGTTACGGCTATTGTTAGCTAATCTCAAGTCACTCTCAGACTCATAATGACAATATATAATAGAACAAAAAACTCTGTAATAGAATATACTATTATACACTGTTATAGAATAAAGCACTGCCTGCCTGTCCCTGTACTATTCCCATAAGTCATTGTTGATCTGACAATTATGGTAAATGGAGAAATCTTTGGCTTGTTTTTGGAAGTAAATTGCCAGGCTTTTCTTCCTAGTTCAGCTTAATTTGGAAGCGCTTTTGGAGCCCATGCAACATCATAATGCGCAAGCTTGCACTGAGAGAGGGTGGCAGCTATGCACAAGTTGTGCTGCTGGGAACTAAATGAGGGCATATTTCACAGGAGGAGAGAATTCTACCACTGAACGACTAGTGATGCACTACTACTCCCTTCTGGTTTCAGAAGGAAAAATACAAGGTTGATTTTGTTGGCTTGTTTTTTTTTTTTTGTAAAAACATTCTTTTGTGACTGAGGTATTTCACTCAGCATAATGTCCTCCAAGGGTCACCCATTTTGTATATTTCATGAATTCCTTGTTTTTCAATAGAGCGTAGTATTCCATTGTGTAAATATACCAGAGCTTCTCTATCCATTTGTTTGCTGAAATGCACTTAGGTTATTTCCAGCTCTTTGCTGTTGTGAACAAAGCTATGATTAACATGGGTGTACATATATCTGCTTGGGTGGCAGTTATGGTTTCTTTGGGGTATATTACCAGTAGTGGAATTGCTGGGTCAAATGCTATTTTTTGAGAAAGCACCATATTGCTTTCCATAGTAGTTGCACCATTTTACACGCCTACCCACAGTGAGTAAAGGATAAATAATGTATATACTGCATTGAAACAGATGAGGGAGAGAACTGTTTAAAAGGGCTATATGATTAGGTACTATTGTCATGAGAGGAGTCCAGAACAAAGGCTGCATAATGGAGTGGAATTAGGGGGAGGGATTGTATGACAATGAAAGAATTTTTCTTTTACTTTTCAAAGAGAAGAGCAAACTGGGGAGGAGGGGCGGGCAGGGAGAAAAGCACAACAACAAATGAATGGAAATCCAAAGTCTCTGTAAACTTTCACTAAAATTAATAATAATAATTTTAAAAAACATATCCAAAAATGCTAAAATCTTCAATTTGAAATCTAGCAAGTTTTCAGATATGAATGAATCTTTTATTTGAACTTGTGAAAATATAAGTCTTTAAGTTCTTTGGAACCCAAAAAATCATACATCATTTCCAAAATTCAGGTTCTTATAGCTACAAACAAAGCAGTTTGAAAAAGAATATTCAAACACCAATACTGGTCATCAGGACCATTAAACGCTATGTTTTAAACGTCATTTTTTTTTCTTTACCTGTATTTTTATCTCTTTAATGTTACATATTACATTGATAATAAAATAAATTCAAAATATTGTAAAGGCCAGTGAATATAATTTTTCCCTCCATGGGAAGGAGATGCATTGCATTAGGAAAGGCTGCTGTCAGTGACCTCCCCATTAACTGAGGAACAATGATGTCAATTTGAAGACTAAAGTGCCCCTGATCCAGGCCATGGTTTTTTCCCGTCATTTATTATATTTCTGAGAGCCGGACATTGAATAAGAATGACAGAAGAATAAATAATTGATCTGAGCTTCATTGACTATACAAAGGCATTTGACTTTGTGGATTACAACAAATTGTGGTTAACCTTGAATAGATCGGGTATCCCAGAACACTTGATTGTGCTCATGCAAAACCTATACTTGGACCAGGAAGCAGTCCTTAGAATAGAGCAAGCAAACAATACGAGGTTCAAAATCAGGAAGGAAGTGTGTCAGGGATGCGTTCTGTCTTCATACTACTTTTTCAATATACATGCAGAATAAATCATTTGGGAGGCTGGATTTTAAGAGGAGGAATGTGACATTGTGATTGGAGGAAGACCCATCAACAACCTGTGTTATGCAAAGGACACACAGCCTTACTTGCTGAAATTGAGGAGGACCTGAAGACTGTAGTCTTCAATATGGATTGAAGCTCAAGATCAAGAAGACAAAGATTTTCACCAATGGGCCAATTGGCAGCACCATGATAGACGGAGAAGACGTTGAGGTAGTTAACGGTTGCAGCTTACTCAGCTCCACAATCAACACTTTTGGAACCGGCAGTCGGGAAATCAAAAGGCAAATTGCATTAGGTAAATCTGCTGTCAGGAACCTTTCCAGAATACTGAAATGTAATGATGTCAGTCTAGAGATGAAGGTATGCCTGATCCAGGCCATGGTCTTTGCATTTACTTGCTATAATTAGATAGCTGGATAATGACTAAGGTTGATAGAAGAATTGATGCATTCAGGTTGTGGTGCTGGACATGAGTCTTGAACATACCATGGACTGCCAAGAAAACAAATAGGTCTGTTTTGAAGAGGTTGTAGCAGAGTCTCTCCTTGGAGGCTAGGATTTTGAAGTTCCCGCTTACATACTTTTGGCACATGGCCAGGAGGGACCAATCCTTGAAGAAGTACATAATGTTCGGAAGGATGGAAGGAGAGCGCATGAGAGGAAGACCCAGATAAGAAGGACTGACATGGTAACTGGGGCAATAGGGGTATGTGTATCTGAGTCAGTGAGACTGGCTCAGGCCAGGGCAAGCTTCGTAGCTGTTGTTCATAGGGTTGCTGTGAGTCGCAGGCGACTAGAGAGCACATAACAACAACAACATTTAGGTCGTGGTATTGGAGAAGAAATATGCCTAAATATGCCAAAGAGCAGATACATCTTAGAAATGGTGCAGCCAGAGTACTTCTTGGAGGCAAAAGAGGTTTGATCTTTAGTGATAAAAAACCACTTTGCACATGTTGCTAAGAGAGGTTATTCCTTGAAGAGGGACATCGTACTTGGGAAGGACAGTGAAAGAGAAGAAGACCTTCAACCAGGTGTGTTGACACAGTGACTGTGACAATGGGCTTGAGTGTGTCAGAGATTGTGAGGAAGGCACAGGATAAAACAGAGCTCAGATCAGTTGTTTATAGGGCACTATGAGTCATAATTGACTCAATGTCACCTAACAACAACATTCAAACATAACAATCAGGAGGATGGCATATAAATGAGCAGTGTTTTGGTTTATTGTAATAGGGTTGCTATCTTTCAGAACTGACTTGACACACGCTTTCAAGAACAATTGATATGAAATCTAAGAGAAACTCTTGAGAATTAAGTAAGAACCTCCACCCTTAAGTTTCTGATTTTAAATTCCTTGTAGCTAATCTAACTTTCTCCCAAACTCCACAACAGAATTGTTTGCATTTAGGACTTGTGTTAGCCCATCTTCCCATTGTGCTATTTAGCTCTAGTTCCTGTGCTGCTGCACAACAGAAAGGGACCTTTCTTTAGGTTGACATAGAAACCACTCAGACCTCATTTGGATGCTACTCAAGCAGATCAAGTTTACACACTTGTACTCGAATAGCCTTGTTTGTGCTTTATTTGTCCACATTTTCTTTTTAACATGACCACCCTCTTCAGTTGCCCTAATTTAAAGTTTCAATTTCTGTTGCATGACATCTGTTCACCACTCTTAAAATATCAGTGACAGTGTTCTTTTGAGACTGTTACTGGAAATACATGGTTCTGCCACCCTAAAAACGCAATCTAGAGGTTAAAGTGGGAAAAGTCTATGTTTCATTATATGTAGGCATATAAGAGAAAAGAGGTCTGATCTTCCCAAACCTGCCTCCTCAAGTCAGAGACTGTGGGGATTTATAGAGAGGAGTCATAGAGCAATGAAATATGTGAGAATTTCCACACTACCTTCTCTTATCCAGGTGTCTGGGCCTGGTGACAGTCTCAAATGAACAGGTCAGCGTTGTTAAGGGCTCAGAGGCAGTCTGGCACCATATGAATGTTCTGTGATCAAAAGGGAGTAATTCCTAGCTATAGATTGCAGAATTTAAGGGGAGTAAATCTCAGCTGTGTGTTGAAGGATACAGAAGCAAGTATCAACAAGTTAGGGGTAACTGTCCGCTAGAGTTAGCAGGGTAGATGGATAAATAATATTGTGAAAGTGTTTGTTCCAGTAAGGAAACCATTTAATTGCTTCTGAGAGGCTAACAGAAAAAATAATCCCAACAAAACACACCCCAAACCTCTTCCTTTTAAACTGTTATAGAAGAGCATTCTCAAGATGACGGGCAGTCTCCTCCTATACAATTAACTGCCTCTGAAAACCTGTCATGGGTCAGCTATGAGTCAATTCCAACTCCACAGTACACACACACACACACACACACACACAGAGTATGTTTTGTTTTAATATAGGCTTAGTGAAGAGTTGTTGTTAGGTGCCATCGAGTCAACTGTGACTCTTACTATGAAGAAGGGATCTAAACCCTTTCCTGTGCATCTTTTAAAACACTTAAGTCCTTTGTTATAGTCATTGTGTCAATCCATCTTGTTGAGGGCTTTTTCCCCTTATTCTAACCATCCACCTTATCAAGCATGAGATATTTCTCAAAGTACTGGCCCCTTCTGATGACATGCTTAAAGTATATGGGTTGGAGTTTTACCACCCTTGCCTCCAAGGAGCACCCAGGTTTCCTTTGTCTAGAACACACTCCTTTGTTCTCTTGGCTGTCTGTGGAATATCCAGTAATCTTCTCTAACATCACATTTCAAAGGAATTGAGTCTTCTTTCATCCTTATTCATTCATTGTCCAGCTTTCAGATGCATAGCAAGCTGTTGAGAAGACCATGCCTTCTTAACACCTTGGTCTTTAAACTGACATCATTGCTCTTTAATACTCTGGAGAGATCCTTGACAGCAGATTTTTCATGATGTTAGTCATTCTTGACCAAGGGCATCAATTGTCATACCAAGAGTGTTGATTGTGGATACAAGTAAGATGAAACCATTGACAAGTGCACTCTTTTCCCCATCTATTATGATGTTTCCTATTGTCTCAGTGGTGAGGATTTTTGTTTTCTTGATGTTGAGATGTGATTTGTATTGAAGAGGCTATAATCTCTGTCTTCTGCAACAAGTGATCCAAGTCTTTCTCTCTTTCAGCAAGCAAGGTATGTTATATCTCAGTAATACAGGTGGTTGATTAGTCATCCTCTAGTCCTGATGTTATATTATCCTTAATAAATTCCAGCTTCTCAAATAATGTGTTCAATGACTATGCAAAGGTATTTGACTTTGTGTATCACAACAAGTTGTGGCTTGTATTGAGAAGAATGGTAGTCCCAGAGTATTTAATTGTATTCATATGAAACCTGTACCTGGACCAGGAGGCTGTTGTGCAAACAGAGAAGGGAAAGATTTCATGGCTTGAAATTTAGAAGGAATGTTTCAGGGCTGTATTCTGTCTTCATTCCTATTCAATCTCTATGCTGATCAAATTATTCGAGAAGCTGGGCTCTATGAAGAGGAATGTGGCATCAGGATGGGAGGGAGATTCATCAATAACCTGCCTTATGCAGATGACACAAACTTCCTTGCTGAGAGTGAGTAGGACTTGAAGTACTTATTGTAGAAGATGTATAGATTGTATCTCAGTGTCAAGAAAACAAAGATTATTACCATTGGACCAATAAGCAACATCATGATGAATAGAGAAGAAGATTTAAACTGTCAACAACTTCATCTACTTGGATCCACAATTAACACACTTGCTAACAGCAGCAGTCAGGAAACAAGGAGACACATTGCACTGAGAAAATCTACAGTTAGAGACCTTTCCAAATTATTGAAGAGTAATGATGTCAGTTTGAGAACCAAGGTGTGTGTGATTCAGGCCATGATTTTTTGTATCTGAGAGCTGGACAATGAATAGGGATGGCAGAAAAAGGACTGATACCTTCGAGTTGTGGTTTGGGGAAGAGGACTGAACATCCCATGGATGACCAAAAGAATAAACAAATATGTCTTGGAGAGGGTACAACTGGAGTGCTCTTTGGAGACAAGGATGATTAGGCTTCAGCTCAGACACTTTGGGCATGTTGCTAGGAGGGGATCTTCCATCAAGAGGGACGTGATGCTGGAAAAGGTGGAGAGCTGGCAAAGGAGAGTAAGACCCTTAACCAGGTAGACTGACACAGTGACTGCTGCATGGGCTTTAATGTGTCAGAAAGTGTGTATGGCACTGGTTAAGATGGGGTTCAGATCCATTGTTCATAGGGCTTCTATGAATTGTACCTGATTCAACAACCTCTAGCAACAACAACATAGAGATTGAATATGTGTGGGGAAAGGATACACACCATGGAACCATGGCACATACCTTTTAAAATTTTAAACTCTGCAGTATTCTTCTGCTCTGTTCAGACAACAGCTTTTTGGACAAGGTAAAACTTTAGGATGGGCAAAATTAGGTGTTTTGAGATTCACATTCTTCTAAATGTTAGCTGTAATTTGTTATGAACTGCATAGTTAAATGCCCTTACATAATCAATGAAACGTAGACATCCTTCTGGTATTCTCTACTTTTAGGACTCATCCATATGATATCCCTGATGCTATGGCCTCTTTAACATCTAGCTTGAATTTCTGACAGTTCTCTGTGGATGTACTATTACTGTTCTCCCTATTCTTTTTTTTTTTAACATTCTTTTTATTATTATACTTGCTGTGTTTTTTTAGATAATCTTCAGCAAGATTTTGTTTGATATAGATTATATTGTTCAATGATATTCATCTTCTGTGTTGGATCACATTTTTTTAAATGAAAATATAATTTTGTTCCAGTCATTTGGCCAGGTTGCTGTTCTCCTTATTTCTTGGCAGAGGCTGATGAGCACAGCCAAGGCTGCATCTATTTGTTGGACTATGTCAACTCATATTCATCAAATCCTAGGGTCTTTTCATCAAATCCTAGGGTTGGTAATGTCGTCATTGCAGCTTGAACTTCTTCCTTTATTACCATTGGTTCTTGATCATATATTATTTCCTGAAATACTTTTATGTCAGCCAATTAATTTTGGTACAATAACTGTGTATTACTTCCATCTTCTTTAAATGTTTCCTGGATCATTCAGGATTTTGTCCATAACATCCTTCAGTATTCGGACTCAAGCTTTGAATTGATTTTTCAGTTCTTTCGGCTTTAGAAATTCAGAGTTCTTTTCTTTTGATTTTCTATCTCCAGCTCTTTGTACATTGTGTCATAAAATTACACTGTCTTCGTGAGCTGTCCTTTGAAATCTTACATTCAGCTCCTTTACTTCATCATTTCTTCTTTCTATTTTAACTTTTTGATGTTCCAAAGCAATTTTCAGAGCCTCTTCTGAGATCCATTTTTGCCTTTTCTTTCTTCTCTTTCTTTGTAATGACATCTTGCTTTCTTCCTGGTTGATATCTTTGACATTATCTTTGAGATTGTTGTTGTTGTTGTTAGGTGTTATTGAGCAAGCTATGACTCACAGCAATCCTATGAACAGATCAGAACCTTGCCATATCCTGCCGCATCCTCATGATTCCAACCATGTTACGGTTACAGTATCAATCCGTCTCACAGATTAGTTGAGTTGAATATGACTCATAGTGAGTCTGTGAACCTCATGATCTTTGATATACTTGATCCCTTTGTTATCATCACTGACTCAATCCATCTCCTTGAGTGTCTTCTTCTTGTTTTCTAACCCTCCACCTTTCCTACCAAGATATCATTTTCCAAGGACTGGATTCTCCTGATAATATGCCCAAAATATGGGAGACACTTCTATTATTCCATCCTTTAGTTACAAAAGTGAGCCCTTCCTACTTAAAGTAACACAAAGAGTTAATTTTAAACTGCAAAAGGGTATTTATTTAAAGGACAACCATCCCTAGTTTCCTACTATCACAAAGGCAATATAAAATGTCAATTTTCTATTCCTTTAGCATCATTTGAAAGGCAAAAGAAACTCTCAGAAACCCTGATTCTACCTTTATAATTTTAATATTTTGTTCACCGTAGATTTTTGGGACTCAATTTTAATTTTTAAAGATATCCTTGGAGAAGGACATGGTGCTAGGAAGAGTGGAGGGCTGACAAAGGAGAAGAAGACCCTCAATTCGGTGAGCTGACACGGTGACTGCCACAGTGGGCTCTTGTGTGTCAGGAAGGTGATGATGGAACAGGGTTAAGATCTTTTGTTTGTAGTATCGCTATGAGCTGTACTAGACCCTAAGGCACCTAACAACAACAATTACAACAATTAAATATTTATCTTGCTTATTTACTTTTGTTCATTTTCTTCACCTTTGTGTCCAAGGTAAATATTTTACTTGCTTTACCCTAATCCTAATCTTATCCCATGGGTTGTTGTTGTTGTTGTTAAGTGTCATTGAATTGTAGGTGACTCATAGCGACCCTATGAATGAAAGTCCTCCACACCTGCATGACTTTCATCCTTTCTCCAGGTTCACAGGGTTTCCAGAGGCTAACTCTTTACAGAAGTGGATGCCACTCCTGTTTCCATGGGTACAGGACATAAAACAGATTTTGCTGAGTGCATATCAAACACTTGAGAAGTGTCTTCAGTGCAAAATTACCAAATTATCTAAAATCAAAAGATTAAAGGCACTAGCTATATTACAATTTCGTTTCCATACCCTCCGTTGCCCATGTAAATGTGCATGAAGTTATTACTATAATAGCTTCTGATGTAAGAAACAAGATAAAAATGTCAGTCACTCACTCAAGAAGAAGTGCTTCAACTCCTGGTTTAAAACTTGTGGAGTTTAAGAAAAGTCCCATAATAGCCAGAGTAAATATTCCAGACATTCCAATTAACTCACCTATTTTAAAAGAGATGGAACAGCAAGAGAGACATAGTTTTATCAGGTGTCTTGAGAGGATGGTGACTCTAGAGTTGTTGTTTTGTTTCAGGTGGAAAATATTGAAAATTATCATCACAACCTGCTGGTTTGGGGGGTGGAGAGGACCTCTGGTGGAACAGGCAGTAGGAAGTTGTTCTGATAACTCAAAGGCCAAGCCTTCCAGGGCAGTTGCGATTTACCATCTGCTCCTTGGGAGGAAGATGGTCAGTCTCTTCCGTTGTGATTACAGTTTTGGAAAAGTGTGTGTGTGTGTGTGTGTGTGTGTGTGTGTGTGTGTGTGTGTGTGTTGGGGGGTCTGTTATGTAATGAGTTGAAAATAAGCTTATTGGTTTTTCACAAAATGAATTTATTCTTGGGAGACATAGGGAATAGCAATGATTTTGTTTTGTAATAAGAGTAAGGGAAAGCAGAGATACAATATGGGCCTGCTTCTGCCTTTTAAGGAGCCTTGGTAACTCAGAGATAATTCCTCATCAGCAAACAAAATGTTGGCAGTTCAAACTCACCAACCTCTCCATGAAAGAAAGGTGTACACTCTGCCTACAGAGTTGGAATGGCTGTAGGGTAGTTCTATTCTGTCCTGAAGGGCTATTGTAAATTGGAATTGACTCAGTAGTAGCGAGTTCATTAATTTCTCTCTCACTTAATTGTACTTTGATGAACAAACTGTCGAATACTGAAACATTCAAAGACCACTGGCTTTTACAGTTACTGTTTAGTCAAATTGGATTCCTAGAAGCTCTGTGTGTTGCAGAGATTTCTGATCTGTGAACTTTCAGCAACAGATGGCCATGCTTCCTTCCTAGGAGTCTCAGGGTGAGTTCAAACCACCAGTTTCTTTCAGTTATTAGTCAAGCACTTAGCCAAGTTTTACCCTAGAGTTCTAAAGAACAACTTATGCCATAGTTTTCAAAGAAGTTCTGTAATAGTAATTTCCTTTCCCTAATTTATAAAAAAAATTTTTAATATTAAAATAATTCAGTAGAGTATAAAGATGATTAAACATAGAATACTGCTCATTATGCTATGCCTATGACTCCAGACATAATGAGTTAAAGAAAAATATACTAGAATTTCTGAGGGAAGTTTACTGCACTTATCTATGAAAATAACAAACAACATAAGAATAATTTTAATATCTTATAAGGCAAACATCAAAATTATTTAACCTTTTGTACCTATACTCATTATCTATTTGGTTATGAATTATGTTGGTGAAGCATATAAAATTCTTGTTTATTTTCTATTCATGCTTGTTTTGTATATTTTGGCCCATTGGTCCCATGTAGTATACATATTGACATTGGTTATCTCTTTTTAAGATTATGGCATAAATATATTCCTTCAAGATCAATTGAAAGTTTGTGGGTTTTTGTTTTTTTACAAGAATGTATTTTATATACTTTTTATCTTTACTAGCAGGGAGCTCTGAGAGTGTAATCCACAGGAAGTTGTGTATCTGACCTAAAGATGTCACCTCTCCAGTGGTTTGACTCCATTAGCCGTTCAAGGGAGAAAGAAAAGCAGTCTCTTCCAGTTCAATTTTCAGTCTCTAAAAACCCACTGACGGGTCTGCTATTAGTAAGTTTTGACTCTAAGGGAGTGAGGGCTTGTTTTTTGTTTGTGGTTTTGAGTGTTCAGAGGTACTTAAATATTAGAAGCAGGCTTCCACTTACAAATATAAAAGACGAGGTACAAAATTGAGAAACTGAGACTTATGTGATTGACATCATCTCCAAAAATAGTTGCCATCCAAACTTGTAGTATTTTTGAACTTATAATCCCAGTCACAAAACTTGCTAAGAAATGTAATCCAAGTCCAACTCTAATTTCATAGGCTGCAAGAAAAGGAAATACACAGAATGGATTGTTTATATTGTTACGAGTCAGAATCGACTCACCAGCAATTTTTTTCTGTTTCAGTTTAGTGTTTAGTCTTCCCATTATTTTTGTGTTCATTGTGGGTTCTGGGAAGATGATGATGCAAACAGATTGACATTCCGGAAATACAAGATAATAATATTTGGCTTTGAGAAACTCTGAATCAAGGAGCAGAGGACAACAGTGGAAATAAGAGGCATGAGTTAAGGGAGAGTCACATACACAGGAAAATTGCTTCTCTCAACCACCCTGACCCTCCCATTCATGTGGGCTACAGGATGCTATGAACTAAAGAAGTTCCTCCATTAAAAAGTCTGACTTCCTCCATTAAAAAGTCTGACTTCCTCCATACCTCTTGCTTGTAAAAAGAGACAAGGTCCTAAGTTTCTACAACATCAACAAGATAGTTCTACTTGGTGGTCTATTCTGAGTGTGACAGCTCCTATTCCATCTGGTAACTATCAGGTTGCTTCAAATTCATGCAGAGGAGTACCTGCACCGGAACGTGTTCCCTGAAACAAACTTTCGACCTAAATGTACACTCACTCCTACTATCTCAAACCTCACTCCCAGAATAACAGGAAAAATTATGCTGAGGCTCAGTTCAGGTATGTCTTCCTTGTTGTTGTTGTTGTTATGTGCCGCCGAGTCGCTTGAGACTCATAGCGACCCTATCTGTACAACAGCCTTAAACCCTACTCTATCCTGTGCCAATCGTACTGCCTCGGACAAACCCATCCCGATTATCCCAGTCACGGAATCAATCCATCTCATAGAGGGTCTTCCCCTCCTGTGCCGTCCCTCCACCCTCCCAAGCATGATGTCCTTCTTCTCCAAGGACCCCTCCCTCCTTACAACATGTCCAAAGTAAGTCAGCCTTAGCTTCTGAAAACTGTCAACCAATTATACTATTCCCTCAAAATACTATTTGGGATATTTTTCTCTCGAGAGGGAACATAAAACATTCCCAGGCAAACATAAGCTGAGACTATCCATAGCTACAAGATTGGCCCTACCAAAAATATTAATGGGAGTCTTTCGGAAGAGAGAAGAGACATTTGGAAGTCCTTCAAAACACAAATATAAAAAGATCTCCAGTATCTGCATGGACAAGTTACTGAATGATCCCCAGTAACTGCATAAGCAAGTTATAGATATCATGACACAAATGTTAAAAAAAGTTAATATGAGTTATAAAAAAGTTACAAATATAACACAGACATAAGAAAATCTCTAGGAACTGACTGATCCCGGGTAACTGCATGGACAAGTTATGAATGTCGAGATACTAATGCATTATAATTCTAGTTGTTTTGTCTGTCATGCATTTTACAGATAAAAATATAAAAGAAGTAAAATTATAAAGCAGTGAACATGGCATACAAATATATAATTAGTCAAAATAATGACAGCATAGGAATCTCTGGTGGCTTAGTGGAAAGAAGTTGTGCTGCCAATACAAAGACATGAGGTTCGAATCCACAAGCTGCCCCAAAGGAGAAGGATGAGCAATTTTCATCAGTGTAGTTACAGCTTCTACACAACTCACTGTATGAGTTTTTAAGCATACAGCCTTATGAAGCTTTTTTAGAATTTATGGTACTAGAGATATTGTAGCTAATATTAGATGGGATTATGCAAAGACATTTGACTGTGTGGATCATAACAAACTATGGCTGACTCTGAGAAGAATGGGAATCCCAGAACATTTAATTGTGCTAATGCGAAACCTATACTTGGACCAAGAGCAGTCGTCAGAACAGAGCAAGGAAACATTGCATGCTTTAAAATTGGTAAGGGTGTATGCCAGGGATGTGTCCTGTCTCCATACCTTTTCAACTTGCATACAGAACAGATTATCCGGGAGGCTAGGCTCTATGAGGAGAAATGTGGGGTCAAGATTGGGGAAGATATATCAACAATACGCATTATGCAGATGACACAACCCTGCTTGCTGAAACTGAGGAGAACCTGAAACGCTTGCTGCAGAGGATCAAGGACTGCAGCCTTCAGTATGGATTGAGGCTCAATGTCAAGAAGACAAAGATTCTCACCACTGGACCAATTGGCAGCATCAGGATGGATGGTGAAGAGATTGAGATTGTTCACAGCTTTAGTTTGCTTGGCTCCACAGTCAACACTCTTGGCACCAGTAGCTAGGAAATTAAAAGACGTATTGCCATGGGAAAGTCTGCTGTTAGGGACCTTTCCAAAGTTCTGAAGAGCAATGATTTCTCTCTGGAGACTAAGGTGTGTCAGATACAGGCCATGGTATTTGTTATCACTTGTATGCATCAGAAAGTTGGACAATGACTAAGGAGCATGAGCTGTGGTGCTGGAGAAGAGTATTGAATGTACCATGGACTGCTAGGAAAACAAACAGATTTATCCTGGAGAGGGTTAAACCACACTGCTCCTTGGAGGAAAGGGTTCTGAGGCTCCGTCTTACATAGTTTGGACATGTTGTAAGGAGAGACAGGTCCTTGGAGAGGGACGTCATGCTTGGGAGGGTGGAGGGACAGCGCAGGAGGGGAAGGCCCTCTATGAGGTGGATTGATTCAGTGACTGAGGTAATTGGGATGGGTGTGTCAGAGGCAGTGTGATTGGCACAGGACAGAGCAGAATTTAGAGCTGTTGTACATAGGGTTGCTATGAATCGCAAGCAACTTGACAGCACATAACAACAACAACAACATGAAGGCTAATTGGCTAGGAGTGTTGTCTTTAGGTTTTCTATTTCCTTGTTAATTTTCTTTATAGACAGTCTATCCAATATTAAAAAGTATTGGCATCTCCAGCTATCATTACAAATGATACACATTTTAACCTTCAAGTTTATCAAAGTTTATTATTGAACTGACCATGCTGACCCTCTAGCAGGTTTTCAGTGGCAATTAATCACACAGGAAGAGATTGTGGAGTAGCTATAGAAGTGAGACATGGCCATACTCACAGTGCCCCTGTTTTTTTTACATGTAAACATACACACACACACACACACTTACACTAGACACAATATATTAAAAAAAACCCCTCATGATTAAAGGCAATTTAAATATGGACAATTAAAAGAGTTTCTGCATACCTTGTTACGAATACTTTACCAACCCCCTCTGCCCACAAGCTCAGCTCAGTGCTCAGCCCAGAAAGTGACCCCTAATTCCCACTTCTTTTTGTGAAGTTAATGGATTTCTAGGTTGACTGTGAACAGATGTCTCAGATCAAGAAGAGAATGCATCTCTTCTTGCTACTCATGGCTACTCTGCCTGACTAGTTTTGTAGATTCCCTTTCAACATACAGAAAAAAGTCTTATCTTTGCTGTGAAGCATTCTGATTCTACCTAAGCTCATGGAATGCTGCTTCCATAGTATCTTCACCAAAAATCATAACTCGACTTCACAAGAAAACAATAATTAATATGAAATAAGGCTATAGGTGCTGGTTCATCTTACAATGAATTTAAGAAATCAATCACTGTACTATTATTTATTATTTTATTTCTACACTTAAAATTGATGGTAAGATATTAAATCCACGTCTACCTTCAGAAAATGTAAGATCCTGATTCTCAAAACTAAGGGGAAAAAGAAATCTTTACCTAAGGAATAGTTCATTGTCTTGTCCATATTTCTATTCATCTCCATAATAATAGAAAATGTCACTAAAGATAGAACAAAGCTTATCAGACTTTGGCCATTAATTAAATTGGTAAGAGATCTGGAAAGACCTAGGAGAAGAAAAAAAAATTTTCATGAAAGAAAAGTCAACACTAAAGAATAAAATCTTATAAAAAGCAGAGGGATTAATTATAGATAATTTATGTCACAATATTTCTTTCAATAAAATTTGTTATATATCAACTATTTGTTTAGACCATCATAATTAAGGGATGGGTTAATTGGGATCAATTGTAGTTTATTTAAGTGAGATAATAAACTAAAGATATCATTCTTTGTTTCAAACCAGAGATGAAAGTATAATATTTATCATTATTATTTTCAACTCAGTGACTTGGTCTATAAATCCACACTTATTTATTGAAATATTTTAAAGAAAAGTTAGAAATATTTGAATGAGACATAAAATAAATCTTGGGATTTATAAAATCACAGTTAAAAAATTCTTAAGGTAAATTCCCAGATAATCCGTAACCTAGCTGGACTTTGCCATACCAATCGTTTTAATGAAATCAATTTCTGTTTATGGAAAGTACATTAGTACTCCATTTATATGATGGTTTTCTAAATGCAGATAAAGAAATCAACTCTCTGCCATAAAGTTGCTTCAGACGCACATCAACCATATAGAACAAAACCAAACTGCTGGATAGAGCTTTTGAGATAAAAGTACATTATCAAATCTTTCAGCAGTGGAGAAGCTGATGGGTTTAAACCTCTAATGTAATAGCAAGCAATGTAGCACGTAAATACTGTGCTACCATGGCTTTTATTTTAAATTTAGTTATTTATAACCTGTCATTTCACCTCTCTCCTTGAAATGTAGCAGCAAAATAGTCATTGTACATCTTTTCATGATTTCCTAACTATCCAAAGAGGGGAACACTATTATTTAGAAAAAAAATATATTTTGATACATCTATTATCATAACCATGGTCACAGCTAACTGTAAATAAGCTGAAGAAAGGATAACACAGTCTCTTTATGTGGTAGATTAACTGTCTTCATAATTTACTCTTTACCTCTCCCTGTATTCGTGTTCCTTGTTAACACTGCATTTTCTCCCAAGGGCATTGACATTTATAGAGTCAAAGGTAGTGGGTAAAAATGGTGTAGGGAGGAAGTAAAAAAATTAAGAGTTGGATGATGTGCAACTGGCACTTTCTTCTCTTAAGGTCTCACATTGTCAAGGATCCTTGTATGTAGACTCTATGTTCCTTTGTTCATAATATATGTTTATGCTTGATGTCTCTATTTCAATTTGCTTCCAATATTTCTTTTCCCTGTAACTGGCTATAAAATGAAATGGAAAGGGGTGTGTGTGTGTGTGTGTGTGTGTGTGTGTGTGTGTGAGAGAGAGAGAGAGAGACGGAGAGACAGAGAAAGTCGAGACAAGAGTGTTTCTGCATGTGCATGACATATTAACATCTTTAGAGAAATACTTTGGTTACCATTATTAAAAAATGAATAAGGTGAAGATAGGGACAACTTGTCAGAGACTGCAGTGACCAGGAGGTGATTTAGGGAACAGTTTCTAGGAGAGGGGCACCCAGAAAATAGGCTGTTGCAGAGTCACTGAGTTGAAAAGGTCCCATGACAGTAATGCTGGCTCTGATCTTGCTGATGACTGACAGCAGACAGAGCTCTGGGACCTGAGGACAGATGGTGGAGGTTGAAGGAACAAGAAAGCAGAGTGTAGGTAGGTACAGAAGTTTGGCAGTGATGAGATGCATGGAAGGGGAGATTTCTGGTTTGAGAAAACACATTTGGATTGAGGGATATATATTGTTGTCATGTGCCATTGAGTCACCTGCAACTCATAGGGACCCTATGTATAAGAAGCTCTGAGACCTGCCCTGTCCTGAGCCAGTATCACTGATTCCTACACAAGTACCCCCATCAACTGTCTCATCTGGTGTCTTCCTCTTATGAATTATGTCTTTCTCTAGGGATCAGACCCTCCTGGCCGAGTGCCCAAAGTATCTGAGACAGAGTTTCAAAATCCTAGCCTCCAAGCAGAAACTTGGTTTCACATTCTCCACAACAGAACTATTTATTTACTTGGGGGTCCATGATATGTTCAAGATTCTTCTTCAGCACCACAACTCAAAGACATAAATTCTTTTAATGTCATCCTTAGTCATTATCCAGCTCTCTGATGGGTAGAAAATAATTGTGAAGACCATGGACTGGATCAGTCACACCTTATATATATTAAGTAATTTTTAAAATTTTAAACTATGGACAAGAAAGGAAAAGCTGAGGAGAAACAGAAGATTCTAGCATAGTTGGGACCGTGGGTTTTTGTTGCTGTGTGCCTTTGAGTTGGAATGGACTCATAGATTTTCAGAGGCTGTAAATTGAACATCTTTCTCCCACAGAGCATCTGTTGGACTCGAACAATGCAATTCCTTACCACTAAACTGGTTGTTGTTGATTATTGTGGAGTTTGAACCAACCCACAGCTGATCTTCAGAGGGTTTTCAGAGGTAGAAAATTGCATGGGAGGAGATTTCCCATCTTTCTTCCACTAAGTGACTGGTGTGTTTGGACTGCTTGCCTTTGGAGTGGCAGAAAAATTCCTTAGTACTAAGCCACCAGACCTTTCTTATAGAGCTGGAAAATAACCACCTTGAGCCAGCAAGGAAGAGATCCAAGGGTAGAATTAGAGCACTTAGCTTTGGTGAGGAGGGTATGGTTCAGATCTGTTTTTCCCAGGGTCCATATGAATCATAGTCAACAAGACTTACCTAGTCAAGATTAACAAGTTGACTAGTTAATTGATGAACTCCTTAACTATTCCCTTATCTAATCTCCAAAACTCCTCCTCTGGTGGACATGAATTTGGGGGTCACTATTCCAGCCGCTATACAATGTGAATCTGTACTCCTCTAAAATCTACAGTTTGTCCATTGGGAAAAAAATACCAAAGTTGATAAAAACGTTGAATGCAAAATGAGGTATTTTAAATACAGAAAGTGAGAAAGATGTACTTACCAAGGTCCCTTATAGCAGCTGAAGTCAGCATGGGGTCTGAACTATAAAGGATAAGTGAAAACAATAATGTTGGCATTGTCCTCAAAGAGAATTTATTCACAGAATTCAGATACCAAAGGATTAAGGTATGATTCACAAGAAATCCAGGAATTGTCATTAAAATTATCTGCAAAGAAATTTTACAAGTAGACAACTCAGATGGCCTTTATAATCCATTAAAATTGTATTTATTCAGGATTGGGTTAGATAATAATCATAATGATTCCATCAAGGGGAAATTTTAAGGTAATTTAAGAGCTATTTACTTCCAACTCGGGAAATAAGGGGCGAAAAATTGCAAGGGGATTCTTAGGACTCACTAAAGATCATTCAAATTAAATACTTATTCTAAATCAAAAGGGTCTTTTACTATTTTTATAAGGTCATTGGCTATAGGATGCATTTGTGTGTTTGTGTGTGTGTGTGTATAAAGGCATGCATACACAAACCATATATATGAATAGCAAATCATATACTTGTGCACATATACATATGCATAAGTCCTCATCATTCACAGATTTTTTAAAGAGATTCTTTACTATCCTAGTTTATTTGAGCACATACCAAAAGTCCATTTGTAGTACCCAAATAAATGCTCAAGGGCCTCATAGAGTTATTTTAAAATATTCATGTTGTTGTATACCATAGAGTCAGAACTAACCCATAGCTGACCCTCCAGTGGGTTTTCAGAGGGAAAAATATTCATAAAGACACAAAAAATTTTAGTTGCTCAGTGCACGTCTTCCCAGCTCAGGCTAAACAAGGCACCAATCTACCTTTTTGTTTCTGTAAGTTAAAAAAACCAACTTCTTTCTGTGAAGCTAATTCTGATTCATGACGACTTGAGCACTTAACCATTTCATGAAGGTAGCTTAATAATTCTTGTAGCAGTTGTACTCAAACCATTTGTACTATCCACCTCTCCTACTGCAAACAAAGTCACTTCTGTAGTCTATTTATTGTCATGATTTTTCCCCATTTTGTGTTTTGGGTTAATTCATGTGCTGTTTAAATTACACCCAACTCTAATGTTGAAATACTACTTGGTGTTTCTCAGAGGCTGTGCTTCAATTCCAGAGGTACGAGGTTCGAATCCACGAGCTGCTTCACTGGAGAAGGATGGATGATCTCCTCCTATGAAAACCCTCTGGAGGTTCAGCTATGAGTCAGTTCGTACTCCAGGATGCACAAAAACAGCAGCAGCACAAGAAGACTATTAAGTACATTATGGAAAGATTTCTGTTGGACAAGTTTCATTGCTACCTGTGTTGTATTGTTGGTTGATCATGAGTTCAATGATACTAAATTTACAATATATATTAAATATCTTAAGATACATATTTCTATATTGCTGTTGTGCACTGTCAAGCTGACTACAACTCTTAGGGACCCTATGCACAGTAGCTCTGAACCCTGCCCTATTCTGAGCATAACTTACTGTCTCCAACATACCTACCCCTATTAGCCTAGTTACTGTATCAATGCATCTCATCCAGAGTCTCCCTCTCTTGCATTGTCCCTCCATCCTTCCAAGCATGATGTCCTTCTCCAAGGACTAGTCTCTCCTGGCAACATGCCTAAAATATGTGAGATGTAGTTTTAAAATTCTCACCTCCAAAGAACACATTGGTTTCATCCTCTCTAGGACAGACCTGTTCTCTTTGCAGTTCTTGATATGTTCAATGCTTTTCTCCAGCACCAAAACTCAAAGGTATCAATTATTCTTCTATCATCCTTATTCATTGTCCAGGTCTCTGATGTATAGCAGTTAAAGCAAAGACCATGGCATGGCCTGGAATAAGTACTTCTTTTTTTTTTTTATTTTTTTTTATTTTACTTTTCTGTGTGCGTGTACCGTCAAATCAGATCTGACTGGTACAGGAGGAGATTTTCCCTCCTTCCCCGGCAGAGCATCTGGTGGATTTGAACTTCTTAGTCTCTAAAATGACATCATTGCTCTTCAGTTATATGAAAGAGTTCCCTGACAGCAGATTTTTTCAAGGCAATTTTGTCTTTTGATTTCCTGGCTGCTGATGCCAAGAGTGCTGATTGTGGATCCGAGTTAGCCAAAATTTTTAACAATCTAAATCTGTTTTCCTTCTGTCATGATACTACAAATTGGACAAGTGGTGAGAATCTTGGTTTTCTTGATGTTGAGCTTCAATTCATATAGAAGGCTGCAGTCCTTGACCTTCTCCAACAAACACTTCAGGTCCTCTTCAGTTTCAGTGAGTAAGGTTATGTCATCTGCATAACACAGGTTGTGATGAGTCTTCCTCCAATCTTCATGACACATTCCTCCTTAAAGTACAGACTCCTGAATGATCTATTCTGCATACAGATTGAAAAGGACAGGGATAGGATGCATCCCTGTCATACACATTTCCCAATTTTGAACTATGCAGCATTTCCTTGCTGTTCTGAGGACTGCTTCTTGGTCCAAGTATAGATTTAACATAAGCACAATCAATTGTTCTGAGATTCCCATTTTTCTCAAGGTTAGCAACAATGTGTTGTGTTCCACACAGTCAAATGCCTTCTTTGCATAGTCAATGACGTAGAGACATACATTCTTCTGATACTTTCTACTTTCAGCTAAGATCCATCTAACATTTGCAATGACTTCTCTTAGCACCGTGGCCTCTTTTAAACCCAGCTTGCACTTCTGCAAGTTCTACATACTGTACAATTCAAGTCATTTTGGAATTATCTTCAGCAGGATTTTGCTTCTTGTAACATTTTTTTCTTTTTTGTAATTTCCACACTTGCTGGCTCATCTTCTTTTGGAATGGGTATAAATAAGAATTTTGTCCAATAAGTTGGCCATGTAGTTGTTCTCTATATTTCTTGTCAAACCTGACCAGAGCATGTCCAAGACAACATCTATTTGTTGAAATTTGTCAATTGATATTCCATCAATTTCTTAGGCTTTATTTTTTTTCTCAATTCCTCCAGAGCACCTTAAACTTCCTCCTTTATCACTGACTCTTCTCACATGTTGTTTTATGAAATTCTTATCAGCCAATTCTTTTTGGTATAGTTACTCTGTGTACTTACCGCTGTCCCCATCTTCTTTTGATGCTTCCAGCATCATTCAGTATTCTGCTCAAGCATCCTGAAATTTTGCGAGTGGGAGATTTAAATTTGTTCTTCAATTCCTTCACCTTAAGAAATGCTAAGCGATTTTGTCCCTTCTAATTTTCTGACTTTTGATTTCTTTTGTTACTCCAGCTCTTTGCACATTTCATTGTAATACTTTGCTTTTTCTTCACAAGCTGCCCGTTGTAATCTTCTGTTCAGCTCCTTATCTTGCTGATTTACTCCCTTTGGTTTGGCTTCTCAGAATTTAATATATTTTAGTAATATATTATTATTGATGCTGTGTACCAAACAGACAGAACCAACCCATAGCTGAGCCTCTGGTGGGTTTTCAGAGGCAGTTAATCTCATGGGAGGAGATTGCCCACACTTCTCCCTCAAAGCAGTTGGTGGCCTCAAACTACATGCCATTGGTATTGCAACACAGTTTCTTGACACTAGGCCACCAGAACTTATTGTTTTTATTGTTGTTAGGAGCCGTCATGTTGATTACACCTCATAGTGACCCTATGAACAGCTGATCTGAATCCTGCCCTATCGTGTACCATCCTCATTATCTATGACACACTCAAAACCATTGCTGAAGTCACTCTGTCAATCTTTCTTGCGGGGGCTGGGTAGGCAGATTCTTTCTTGCTTTTGCTGACTTTCCATCTTTCCAAGCATGATGTGCCTTTCCAAAGAATAGCTAGAGATGAAGATTTGTCATACTTGTCTCCAAGGAGCACTCTGGCTGCACTTTCCCCAAGACATAGATAAGTCTTTTGGCAGCCCATGGAATATTCAGCACTCCTCTCTGGCACTAGAATTTGAAGGCATTCATTCTTCTGTCATCCTTTCACTTTGTCCAGCTTTCTGATGCAAAATAATTGAGAAGACAATGAAAACTGGCCTGCCTTTACATCATTGTTTTCCTCTTCATCTGTGTATGGTGAATATTTAGCAAAATTTCATCCCTGAATGAATTTTGGAAGATGTGGTGATTGTGCCATAAGGATACACAAGAACTGAAATATTCAAAATCTCCCTTCATTTTGCCCTTTCATTTGCATTGGGACAGTTGCTTTGAATGGAGACTGAGCACTGGTCTCTAATTTGGGAAGCCAGGGTAACAGTGCTGAGTGAACAGGATTAAGTCACTTAGTCATGTATTTCTAACCTAATATCACAACCAGCAAAACAATGGTGGTGGTTGTGGTGGTGTTAGGTGCCTTCAAGCCAATTCATAGTGACCTTCTGAGCAGAACATCAGATCCTTCCTTAGAAGAACTTAACCCTATTCTGTGCCATCCTCACAGTCTCCCAGATGTCTACCCGTTGTTACAGTGGCCGTTGTCAACCCATCTTACTGTCTTCCTCTTTCCCTCTGACTCTCTATATTTTCCAGCATGAGGCCTGTTTCCAAATACTCGTCCCTTCTGATAACATGCCAAAAATATATTTGAGTGTTGAGGAGACCAGACATAACTGAGAGGGACACTTTTTTGGATAAAGATTGATAAAGCCTTAAGGTGATGAAACTAACAGTATGGGCAATGAGATCACTTAACTAGCTGGGTGGTTGAGTTCTCCCTTTAGTGTTTTCATGAGCAAAAGAGTCATATTATTAACTCCTTGTGAAAACAACACATCAACTTGAGGCTTTCGGACAACAGGATTGAGAGCTAGGAGACCCCAATCTTCCTACTTCCACTGAAGATATCACACCGTGTGTTACCTACAAAGTGTCTAGCGTAGTTCTGCTCTGGAAATGCACACCACACTGCATATTCCCTCACCACACTGAGTTTGGGTTTCATCTTGTGATCCACTCATGCTAAAAGAGCAATAGAAGTAAATGTGATGCATGTAGAGATAAAACAAACTGGCATATTGAGTCCTGCCTCAGCCAGTGTCCTCCAGGAATCTGTAAGTTTGATATAAGGAAGTCTGGACCAGCCCGCTAAATGGCAGGGTCTGTGTGTCCCAGCAACACCGTTGCCTAAACCAATAGGCAGCACTCACAGTACCTATCAGTAGTCAGCTGAGTGAGAACATCTTCACCATCCTTCTGCTAGCTGATTCACCAGGTGAGTGGAGGTACAAGAAATACCCACACAAGAGCTCCTTGGGTCAGCCAACACCACTTTTCTAGCTCTCTTTAAAATCTGATTCCTTTGTAATCTGTGTGAACTCTAAAGTATCTAGACTTTGTTTCAAACATCACTTATTCTCATATATTATGTCGTGTTTAGGGGCTCAACTGCTAACCACAAGTTTGACTGTTCAGATACAAATAGTAACTCCATGGAGAAAAAGATGGCAATCTGATCGCTGCCACAAAGATTATGGTCAAGAAAACTGAGAGGGGCACCTTCTATTCAGTCACATGGGATCACAAGACAACCAACAGCATCACCAACAACAGTGCAGCTTAGGTAATAACCTCACAGTCACAGAACTCTTTCAATAACTGAAAGAAATGTATATTCAGATTAAGAACTGGAACATTTTCCCCCTTAGGGTTATAACTTTTTAAACAGTACAAATCTCACTTATAAACTCTTTCTAGTTACTAAGTTAGGGGTATTGCTCTTCATCTGAGATCTCTTTCCCATATGTGCATTTTGTTGCTTATGGTTTTGCTGTTTGCTTGGTTTTTACACATAGGGATTAAAGGTTTCCAAAAGTGAGCATTTGAAAAATAACTGCACATCAATTTCCTTTTTCTGGACCGAATGCCATCATAGATCTCTGCTGTTAGGTTACAAATAAAAATGGCATTTAAATCTGCCAGTCTAATTTCAGAATTCTTTTTCCTCAACATTTTTTTTTCCTGAGTGTCCGATATGGGAGCCATTTGCTAAGTTCCTGTGTGTTCTCTTAAAATAAGGTTGAATATACCACTCCTCCACTCTGAACTTTCTCTTGTCTTTCTTTTTCTATCTTGGAGAAGAAAAAAAAATCTGAACATAGATAAGATGTAATAGTCCAAGAATGAATAACAGTATTGAAAAAGAAAGAATTCTTACCTGCCAAGTTAACATTTGGAGCATATATATATCCATGTCGAATGCCACATGAAAGGTTATTATTGGTGTAAATAAATTAAAAAATAATTTTGGACTCATCCATTGGATGGTATTCACATATTCTTGGACCTAATAATAGTAAAAATAAGTCATTTTCTCTTCTATCCATCTCAACATTTCTCTGATTAACAGAATATACACCAGAAACTCCCACCAGCAGCAAGAAAGACCACTTAACTTATAAGTTCTAAGGTGTTAAATTTGTTGGTTTTTCATCCTTTCCATTCAGGCTATTTCCTACTGCAGCAGGAAATTAGTTTGTAACCCTGTGCTCATTCTATTTCTTTAAATGAGTATAGGAAGAACGTCCTTACAAAAGCTAGGGAACATGTAGGTGCTTGTCAGGCACAGAAGAGAGAGAATGAGATTTTAAGTAGGTGGGTTGTAGTGTACAAAGTATAAAGAAGTAAATAGTAATACACAATTTTAGGAAGCACAGATAATTAGTTATGACTTATGAAGAAGATTAGCACTCTCTTGAGGTGTTGGAGAAGGATACTGAAAATCCAGTGGATTACCAAAAGAACAAACAGATAAACCTTGGAAGAGGTGTAGCCAGAGTGTTTCTTGGAGACAGAGGTGGCAAAGGTTTGCTTCACAAAACTCTGCAATGTTACTAGGAGAGGCTGGTTCTTGGAGAAGGACATCATGCTTGGAAAGGTGGAGAGACAGCAAAGGAGAGGAAGATCCTCAACCAGGTGATTTGACATAGTGACTGCAGCCATGGGCTCTAGTGTGGCAGAGATTGTGAAGTTGGTACGGGATAGGACAGGGTTCACATTGGTTGTTCATAGGGTCGCTATGAGTCAACTTGATTTGATGGCAACTAACAACAACAGCAATGGCAATAGTCAGAAGTGAGTCATGCTGCTCGTCCAGGGACTGCATGTATGACGGATTAGATCCACCAGCAATTCCGTGAAAGAAAGATGAGCAGTCTTCTGGTGCAACTGACAGCCATCAAAACCCTTCTATGTGTTCAAATTGATTCAACAGCAGTATGTAGAAAATGAGTGTGGGAGATTGGCACTCATAGAGATTAGAAAGCTATATGCAGTTCATGAACGAATTAGCAATGTTTATCATTAAATACTCATTTAACAATATTTGTAAATCCTATGATAGCTTCTGAATCTCTGGTGGCCTTAGTGGTAAGGCATTGCACTGCCAGTCCAAAGGCAGGCAGTTTGAACTCATCAGTTGCTCTGAGGGAGAAAGATAAGCAATCTCTCCTGTGGTATTTACGGCCTCTGAAAATTTACATGAGGGTCAGCTCAATCAGCTCAGACTTAAAGGTAGGTAACAGCCACATTATATGTTCACTGAGCTCTAGCAGCCTAGTGGCAAGGAGTTGGTCTAACAACGAAAAAGTACAGGGTTTGAATCCACCAGTGTCTCCAAGAGAAAGATGGGTAATCTCTTTCTATATGATTTACTGCCTTTGAAAACCCACTAGAGGGTCATCTATGTGTTGGTTCCAACTCAATGGCACATAACAGCAACATTTCATAGATAACACTGAGAATTCATTCCTTAAGAATGTACTGAGTATGTTAGTGTGTTAGATGATACTGTTGTTTCTGGGAAACAGTTATCAATGGATATTTTGTGTCTCTACACACAATGCTTTTCTTCTGGACTATCTTTTCCAAGATGTTTGCATGTCAGCTTTTGAAAGAAATGTTTTCCTTCATAGCAAAGGGAAACGTTGCCCATTTACCCAGTCTAACAAATAATGTTTTCTTTTAGGACAAGAGACCAAATTAGTTTATACTCTTCATTGGGTTTCTATAAACTCGTGTTTCTTCTTAGTGTATTGTTTCCACCTGGCCCTCTGTGCATCTTTTTATGGAAACTGGGATTAGGAGAACTGGCACAATAAAATGCTGATACTAAGCATTTATTACCTAAGTTAACATCAGACAGTACACTTAAGTCTGACATAAAAATCGTACATTTCTAACTTAGGAATTCCATATCCTCTGCCAGAATCAATGTTGAAACTTCAGCGGACTAACAACTTTGCAAGTAGGGCAGACACTCAGTTTCTTTAGGGCTCTAGATCAATGATCTCTCTCTTTTGTGAAACAATGAATGAATGAAGACCCAACTTTTCTGTAAACTTTCATTGAAACCAGAGGGTTTTAAAAAAAAAAATATATATAAGTATTTAACACAAAATTCTTCATACGTTAAAAAGTACTTATTGGCAAATAGAAAAAGCTAGGTTCATGAAAATCATTAAAATTACATTTATGTCAAAATCATTTGGTTTTAAATTCTGCTTATGATAACAATTGAAATAGTAATTCCTTTATGACATGGATAAGCATTCTATCTATCTATCTATCTATCATCTCTCTATCTATCTATCTATGGAACATCATAGGTTAAATTTGTTTAGACAAGTCAATCATTGGCTCTCAGATAAAATCTGGTCCATCATCAGGGCTAAAAATTAAATTTATTGGAACCCCACCAGGTTTATTTATATATATATATTGTTTATGGCTGATTTTTCATAATATTGGCAGAACTGAGTAATTAGGAGAGATTGTTGCTGTTGTTTATTGCCTTCAAATCAAGCACAACTCATATTGACTGTATGAAAAAAGGCTTGAAGCCCCTCTGCAACTATTGACATTTGTCAAAGTTCCCCGTTTCCAGAGGCATGTGGTTTAGGTAGTGGATGCCACTCCTGCTTCCAAACCTGTATGTTATAGTGTTATAGTTGTTATGTGCCATTGAGTTGTCTGTAATATATAGTGATGCTATGTACAGCAGCTCTGAATCCTTCCCTGTCCTGAGCCAGTCTCACTAATTTCAACACACTAAACCCCAGCACACCAGTTACTGCATCAATCCATCTCATCCAGGGACTTCCTTTACTGTGCTGTCCATCCATCTACCCTTCCATGCACGATGTCATTCTCCAAAGACAGTTCTCTCTGGGCCATGTGCCAGACCCTTTATGGTCTAAAATATGACCACTGACAGATTGTCAACTTCTGTCATAGAGGACTATTCATTGAGTCAATATGCATTCTACATCACTTATCACAGTTCTCTCTCTGCCTTACCAGATTCCAACAACTACTGACTATTTTGTAGTACTGTAGCTGTCTTGACTATATCTACAGTTTCTCATTCTTCTCACTTTCCAATCCAAGAAAGAGATTTGCTTGGTACATTCTAGCCTAGAATTCTCTTGATACATTCAGAGAAAGGATTTTTATTCTAAAGAAAAAACCATGAAGCATTCTTCTTGAGGCAATAGATGAATTCTACATCAAATACTTTACTACTAAAGTACTGTACAAGTTAACTACAGTTTATTTTTGTTATCCACTTCATTGTTTTTAAAGTTGCTTTTCACATCTAGAAAAATACTCTTAGACTAATCAGATGTCTTTATTTGTACGTATATTTGTTTTTAATTATCTATTGTGTTTTAGACCTAAACTCAGGTTTTTACTAAGTTTAGTCAAATAACAGTTCTATCGGGACTTTTTCTGTTCCCTTCAAGTCTTGTCTAATACCATCAATACTAAATGCCTAAATGTATACCAACTAGCAGAATTCTGAGAGGAGTATTTTTTGCAAATTTTCTTAAACCACTGTATTTTTTAAGTCTTAGACACATGTAAAATATCCAAACTTACTATACATACCTTGGAAGATGCAAAACTTAGTATTTCAAAACTGCATCCAAATAAAAACAGAATCACAGGGAGAGGAATTGGAAAGTCTTTCAGTTGCATGTTTAAAAATGCTGTAAAAAATATACTCTTATTAATAAGCAGTAAAAGGTCATATTAAAGAACTTCGATGTGGTATAATTCCTTAATACTGTTGGCTACAAGGCATTATTCTACCATTCATCTTCTCATTGAAGCTTTTCTTCGCGTTAAATATGTAAAATCAGTGTAACTGTTACTCTGCTAGGTTTCTGCCTTCCCTCTCTTACCATGAATATAATTTCCTTGGATTTGTTTTTTTAAAGTAAATATTCCTTGCAGTTATTGGCTCCTGCATTACTATACTGAAATATTTATAGGAGCTGTTGTATAAGCATAAATCAGAAATTAGTTTCTTTAGCAATCCCGTAAGAAGAGGCTAGAAAGTAATTAAAACTTTAATAAAACTCCCTGATTGTTCCCACAATGACAAGCAGCTAGTTATTATTAGCTCAACAATGTAAACTACCTACCTATTACACATTAGAAAACCCACAATGACTAACTCCTGTTTATCGTTGTTTATCAAGGGATAGTTAGCAATAGCGTTACATTTCCTCCTGTTTACATTTTTTCTGCTCTTTTTAAGACATTCTTTAGTCAAGTCAAAGAAAATGCATGCTTTTTTAAATTTTGGCAATATTTTTATTTCTTTTTACTCTCTTCTCAGAAGAACTAGTTGTTGTTGTTATGTGTCATCGAGCTGTTTGTGACTCATAGCGACCCTATGTACAAGAGCCCTAAACGCCGTTCTATTCTGTGCCAATCTTGCTATCTCAAACACATTCATTCCTACCACTCCACTCACAGAATCGATCCATCTCATTGAGGGTCTTCCTCTCCTGCGCCGTCCCTCCTCTCTCCCAAACATGATGTCCCTCTCCAAGGACCAGTCCCTCCTTACAACATGCCCAAAATATGTCAGACGAAGCTTCAGAATCCTTGACTCCAGGGAACATTCTGGTTTCACCCTCTCCAAGACAAATCTGTTTGTTCTCCTAACAGTCCATGGTATATTCAACACTCTTCTCCAGCACCACAGCTCAAAGGCATCGATTCTCTTTCTATCATCCCTATTCACTGTCCAACTCTCTGATGCATAGCACGTAATTGCAAAGACTATAGCCTGGATCAGGCGTACTTAGTTTCCAGCCTGACATCGTTGCACTTCAGTACTCTTGAGAGGTCCCTCACAGCTGACTTTCCCAATGCAATTCGTCTCCTGATTTCCTGGCTGCTGTTACCAAGAGTGTTGACTGTGGAGCCAAGCAAACTAAAACTGTTAACTATCTCAATCTGTTCACCATCCATACTGATGCTGCCAATTGGCCCAGTGGTGAGAATCTTTGTTTTCTTGATATTGAGCTTCAATCCATATTGAAGACTGCAGACATGCTTTATCGTCTGGACAAAATCTATGGACATCCAACCCAAGTGGGCTACAAAGGGCAAAAATCATACCACTTTGACAATTACATGTTACAGAGATTGGGAGATCTAATTTTAGCATATGAAACCAACTCTAGTTTTCACTAGCTGATGGAATAACAAAGTTTCCAAACCTTAATTCTTTCTTATATACGTAAATTATATGCAATTATTTAAATCTAACAATGGCCTAGTAAGCAAAAATGTGTGAACATTACCCCAACAGAGGTAAAGAACCTGCAAATTTCCTTCTAGTATAGGCAACTCTTGGATTCTTTGAGTACTAATCTTACGGAAAAGATAGGAATTTAGGACAAGTCTAAATTTTCTTTTGCTGCTATTTCCCTAAATTTTATACAGTATCTTTCAATACATAGCTTTTAAATACTCACACACCCCAATAGCAACAAAAAAACCCTCCAATTAAAGTATACCTACCTCCAATTGTACAGATCAAAGACAATATTAAAATAATTTGAGGAATATCCTTAGGATAACGAATAAAGTCTTTTTTGAGATACTCAATCCATGTATGGGCAAATTGTTTATTCTTTTTAGTGTCATTGTAAATGATATCTTCTATCTCCATCCTGTTTTTTCTCACAATCAGTAATGAGTATGCCTTGTATAATTCTGAAATATACAGATAATATTAAAGAAACATAAGATTTTTTTCCTACTTTAGCTCCTTTAATGCTTGTTTTAGGGATCTCTTGCGGCCTAGGGGTAGGGGTTTCTACTTGATGACACACAACAAAAACAGCAAAGCTTTTTTATTAATGTATTTTTAAAGGTTCAGATTTACTCTTTATTTCTAATAGGAGCTCAAGACTTTCCAAAATTATGGGTGTTTCTTTCTTCATTAGGGAGTTTTGATGGTAAGGAACTGCACAGCCAACCCAAAGGCTTGCAGTTTTAATCCATCAGGTGTCCCAAAGGAGAAAGAAGAGCATTCTCTCACTGTCTCTGAATTCACTATCTCTGAATGTTGCAGTAATTCACCATGTCTGAAAATCTGTTGGAGGGTCAGCTAGGAGTCAGTTTTGACTCAAGGCCATATAACAATGTGCTGCAGCAATAGCATATATGGTGCATATAGCATTCTTCAGCAAGCCACCCTAGAAGATATGTGAACTCTGTTAACGTAATCCATAGTGAGTTGCACTGCTAATTCAAAGGCCATGCATTTCCAGTATTTAGAATTCTACAGTGGCACAAAGGAAGAAAAATAAGCAGGCTCCTCCTGTTATGATTTAAAGCCTTTGAAACTCAACAGGGGGTCACTATGAGTCTGAAAGATAGTGAGTGAGGAGATATAATGCCACATATGTTGACCAGCTGACTGAAAAGTGGCACAGTTTGAAACACATGAAATAACCATGAGGTGGAATAGATTTGACATAAATGGATTTGTTCCTCACTGTATAGTGAGAAACTCATGGTCATTGTCTTGGAATCATAGCAGACCTTCCCATGGGATTTTTTGCAGAGGCTATAAATCACAAGGGAGGAGATTGCCCACTTTTCTCACATAGAGATGTTGGTGAATTTGAACAGCCTACCTTTGAGTTGACAGCACAATTTATTATCCACTAGGCCACCAGAGCACCCTCATTCTAGCATATTTTCAACTGAAATATGACAGGTACAACCAAAAGTGACAGACTGTTCAGTGTCACCCTGTGTTTACTTACAGAGCCAACACTACTCAGCTATTACTCATCCTGCATGTATCCGAGTGTCCGAAAGATCTAATCAGTCACCAATATTGGAACCACAAAGTGTTCACGTCACTTTGGCCTGAGGACAAATGATTGATTTACCTTCAGCTTGTCCGAGCCTCTGGATGTGTTCTGTCCTCATTATCTTTGACATATTTGAGCCTATTTCCACTTTCTTTGTTGTCAATCCTCTCTCTCTTTCTCTTCACTTAACTGCTTTGCTTTTTTAAATTGTGATTTTTAATGCAAGTTTACAGAAGGGTTGGATTTTCATCCATTCATTATTGTACGTTTTCCAATTTATTTTTTAAATATTCACTTATTGTTGCTCAACTTACCCCCTCCCCCTCCCCCAGTCTACTTTGTAAAGTCCCTCTTATTCTGGACTGTTGTCAAATGTATAGTGTCTAATCACATATTCCTATTAAACAGTTCTTTCCATCATCTGTTCCAATGCAGTGTTCATTAGCTATCCATTCTCATAGTTTCTTCCCAATCCTCTACATTAGCTCCCCTTTGTAACAGTGGTGTTATTCTTTTGTGACTGAAATATTTTCATTGACTTTTCACCTTTCCAGTCATGATGTCCCTTTCCAAGGAACAGCCCCTTTTTACCACACACCCAAAATACTGGAGATGAAATATCACCATTCTTGACTCCAAGAAACATCATGGTTGCACTTTCTCTAAAGCATATTTGGTTGTCCGCTTGGGATATTTAATACTCTTCTCCAACACCACAACTTAAGGGTATCAATTCTTCTTCTGTCATCTTAGTTATTGTCAAACTTTCAAATGAATAGTAAGTAATTGAAAAGACCATGGCTTAAATCAGATGTACCTAAGTCTTTAAATTAGCATCATTATTTGTTTCCCAATGCAGCAGACCTTCTGACTCTTGACTGCTGGTACCAAGAGTGTTGATTGTGGATCCAAACAAAATTAAATCATTGACAACTTCAAGCACTTCATCATGCAACCTATAGCCCCAGAGATGAGGTTTTTGCTTTCTTGATGTCAGATATAATCCATATTGAAGGCTACTGTCCTAGATCTTCTGCAACAAAGGTTTCCTATTTAAGGAAGCAAGGTTGTGTCATCTGTATAAAGAAGTTTGTTGATGAGCCTTCCTCTGATCCTGATGCCACATTTCTCTTCATAAAATCTAGCTTCTTGAATGATTTGATCAGCAAATAGATTGAAGAACTATAGAGAATGGATACAAGCATCAAGCACACATTTTTATTTTAAACCATTTAGTTTTCCTCTTCTCTATTAGCTCAATGACGTCTTGGTTTAACGCAAATGTCTGTAAGACAGAGTAGAACATAGATAAGGTTTCCAAAGCTGTAAAGCTTAAGGAAGTTGACTGCTCCATCTTTCTCCTGTGACTGGTGGATTTCAACCACCAATCTTTTGGTTAGCAGTGTGAATGCTTTTAACCACACCACCACCACCATTGTTTGTGACTTAAACAAAAGAGACATTAAATATGCTATCTCATTGTCTTAAAAGGGTTTCCTAAAATAATATGTCTTGAAGAATAGCCAAGTCAGTTAATCTCACCTTTTTTCCATTTATTTTAGTACTGTTATAACTGAAATACCACAGGTGTGTGACTTTAACAATAGAAAAATATTTTTCACAGTTGGGGAACTGAATTTGGGTTCCAAGAGGAGTTGTACTGCTCACTCAAATGTTCTCTGCAGATTCAAATTTATCAATGGCTCTTGGGAGAAAGATGTACATCCTCCTGAAAATCCACTGGCGAATCAGCTATGAGTAAGTTCTGACTCAGTGGTGATGTGCTTTTTGGCACTTGAGAAAGGCTTTTTTTCCTCTGTGGGAAGATCCTTGTTTCTATTTTCCTATTCCTTGAAGATTTTAATTCTTTTTTTTTTAAAATCCATCTATTTATGCTGAGAAAGATAGAGGGTCAGTAAAAGAGACGAAGGCACTCAACTAGACAGATGGTTTGACAGTGACTAACCACAATGGGCTTGAGCATGACAGATCATAAGGCTGGCTCAGGGTAGGACATGATTCTGATCTGTTCTTCATAGGGCTGCCATAAGCTATAGTCACTCTGATGGAAATCCAAACTTAATCTGTTCTTTCATATGTCAAGAGATTAATTTAAGGTACACATTGAACTAATGTAACCTTATTAACAGAACAAACAAAACTCATTCCCCAATGAGATTATAACCACAAGTGTTGAATGTCTAATACATGTTTTTGTGACGTACCATTCAAACTATAACACTATAAAAAAGGAAAATTTTATATCCAGGAAATTCAGCTTCAGGCAGGGAAGTTTCTAGATTCCATCTTCCATAACAGTGGCTCCACATCTTCTAGTGTCTACCACTTGTATCTCATCTGGATGACTTGCTAAGGAAATAGCTTTTATGAAATTACCTCTCACAGTCCATTAATTTCACTCATCAATTTTTAAAAAATGTTGTTAGTGTTTTTTTTTTGGTGCAGTCATAATGACTCTAAGAACAACAGATCTGAACCATCTTATCCTGTGCCATGTGCATTATTTCTGACACATTTGTTATATTGATCTATATATGTCTTCTTTTCTGATCATATAAACAAAACTTGGAAAGAAAAAAGGGAAACAATCACTGTGAACACTTAAACATTACTAAAAATTGCAAAAGCGGGGGGAAATGTACCTATAATCTTCCTTATATATTATACTTTATCATGTTTTTAACTTAGTATCACTGTATATTTCCCACATAAAAACATTTATAATGAATGCATTCTATTGTAGAACTTGATATATGTAACCTCTTCAACAGATTTTCATTCTCTGATGTTAGGTGCCATCAAGTCAAACAAAACTTTTAAGGACCTTATGCAAAAGAGATCTGAACCTTGCCCTATCTTTTACCATCCTCACCATTACTGGTATGCTCAAACCGATTTTTTTAGTCACTGTGACAATCTATCCTTTTCAGTGTGTTCCTCTCTATCTGTGACTGCCCCCCTCCATTCCCATTATGATTCTTTTTCTAAGGACTAGTCTCTTCTGAGAACATGCCCAAAGTATGTGAGAAAAAGTTTCATCATCCTTGACTTTAAGGAGCACCTTGGTTTCAATTCATCTGGGACAAACTTGTTTCTTCTTTTCTTAGTTCATGGGTACTTTTCTCCAACACTACAATTAAAAGATAGTGATTCTTCAGTCTTTCTTATTTCTCGTCCTACTTCAAGAGGCACAGGAAGCATTTGTAAAGACCATGGTTTGGTTCAGGTGTACCTTAGTCTTTAAACTGACATCCTTGCCTTTAGCACTTTGGAGAGGTCTTTGATGGCAGATTTACACAGTCTTTTGATTTCTTAATTGCTGCTGTCATGGGTACTGATTGTATATTCAAGTAAAAGGAAATAATTGAAAACTTCAATCTTTTCTTTTTTATATTGGTCCAGTGGTGAAGATTTTTGTTTTCTTAATATTGAGATGTAATCCATATTGAAGGCTGTAGTGTTTGCTATTCAGCAGAAGTCCTTCAAGTCCCCTTCACTTTCAGCAAGCAAGATTGTGTCACCTGCAAAATGCTGGTTATTGATTAGCCATATTGTAGCTTCTCGAATGACTTACTCAATATACAGATTGAATAGATAAGGAGAAAGGATATGACCCTGACTTACACCTTTCCTGATTTTAAATCATGCAGTGTTCCTTCTCCCCTCCCCCACCCCAATTTGGACAACTGCTACTTGGTTAAATGCATAGGTTTTGCCTGCACAGTTAGGTGTTCAAGGATTCACATTCTTAATGCTATCTATAATTTGATATTATCCACACAGTAAGCAATAAAACACAAATGTCATGCAGAAACATCAGAAG